AGCACGAGGAACAGAGGTGCCAGGAGTAGCCAGCCTGCTGCGCAAATTCACGCAGGCATGTCAAGGCATCTGGGTGCTGTTGGATCTCAGTCACGCACTCGAGTATGATGCCACAGGCTTGTGAGTGCCAGGCAAGCTGCAGCACATGACACAGGGTGTGGCTGCGCGGATCGCGGAAACCCAACATTAGCCCTTGACGCGAATAGCCCTGACACGGAATACCTGCTGCAATGAGGCAACGATGAGCCGACTGCGTCAAGTGGATCCGCTGTCGGGTAGCCGGGTCGGCAAGATCTCGACTGAATGACCGGGGCCGACTGTAGCCTCAATGCCGTGCACGCCAAGTCGCACTTATCAGCAACCGCTAGGCAAGAGAACCCAAGGAAGTCACCACCAACTGAAATCCCGCCAATCCCGGCACAAACCTCCTTGAGGGCGCTAAAAGAACGCTCCTGAAGGGCAGGCCTTTCCACAACAGTAGTCCCTGACAGGATCTGAAGAAAGTGAAAGCTTCCCAGCATACCTTTGTATTGCACGTTGTACAGTGTCAATGTTGCACCTGCTGAAAAACCACCTGAAAGATCAACGCACCGTGCCGTTTCACCATGCCAGAGCATGCTCACAGTAGCCGCGCTCTGGTCAATTCCTTGCACCCTGACAACAGCGTCAAAGCACTGTCCAGCGGTCAAAGAAGAAAGGAGAGGGTCCCCTATCATGGCGAAGTTCGAAGCCCTCGAGGATCGGTGGTTAACAGCTGCACTCCTGGAAAGTCTCGAGCCCGCAGCTGATCCTTTATAGTATAAAAATAAAAGGAATGCTGGGAAGATTCTTGGCAAATATATCTAATCTAGGCCTCTATATATTTGCTTGGATACGCCCGGCTTAGGTTCACATTGTTTTTTTTTAAAAGTTGTGCCTGAACCCACTGGATTTAAGTCCAGGCTGAAAGGGCTAGCAGGGGAGCTTCCAGTTAAGTGCGAACTAGCCCTACGAACCCGCCTTTTTTGTAGGTTCTTGTTATAACCCTAATATATAAGATTTATAGGGACCCTACAAAAAAGTAGGTTCTGGTGGGTTAAGGTAGAACTGAAGGGGCCCAAGTTTTGAGGAGTTGAGGTCCAAAGGCGATGCATCTGGAAGCCTTTCCTCGCATACTAACTGACAGCGCAGACAGATAGATAGATTCCGGATGTCCTGAAACCATAGATCTAAGATGATCTTAAGATCAGGACAATTAAGTTACCGCCCGTACATGTACGTGCCCGTGACCCTTGCATTGACGTACACACACACAGTTACACCGAAGTCGTGAGCAGAGCCTTGGTAAAGTGCTCATCGAGGAGGTTCCCATCTTTCAGGCTCTTGATGAAAGCCCGGATATCCATGCCTCGATTGCTTCATGTCAACTGGAGTGCATACAGGCTAAGATGTTTGGATCAAAATACTGAAGGCCCCAAATCTTGAGCACATGAGGAGACGCCTTCTTTACAATGGGCCTGGTCCCATGTCACAACCTCATGAAACCTGATGAAGCCTTTCTCATAAGCCCCTTTGCAGTCAAAACACATTGACCCAAATGTTCTACTGCAGAACCTATGATATCAATCAGTCAGGCCGCCATTTTGTGGCGCGTAGTGGCGAAAGACTTCCACCATGTCAATCGCCATGGCTCGCTTTTTAGGGTTAAAAGAGTCTCTAGGAGCTCAACGCGAGACATGGTTTCTGCCAGGTTCTGTGGTGATCTGAGCTTCGAGGGATTAACGCGCTTGCACTGCATGTAAGTCTTCGTTGCCCAAACCCCAAGGCTCCGAAACCTTGGTGACTTTTCCAGTGGTGTGGCACAAAAACCGAGGATCAGGGAATCGTGATGAGGGTGCTTGGGAAGGTGCGGTGGGGTATAGGGCGTGGGCAGTTGGGGTGTATCCTAATCCTACGATATGACTAACCTTCAATGCAAAGACGAAGCAGGACACTACCATATCACTTGAAGCGAGGCGGCAAAGTGCGGCAGGAACATTGGCAAAACAAAAAGGATTGACATCATGATGGGCGTAACATCCCACGACCTTCACGGTGCACAGCAACCATTATGCTTCTGTTGTAAGACCATATCATGATGTCTAACCATGAGGTCGCATGCATAGTTAATAGCGACACCGAAGAGCCAGGCTGAATACGTTTGAAGTGCCGCTATTGCGGCTTTACGAGATTTTGAGCTTGGTTCCCACATCCGCGAACTGCATTTCTGGGTCCCTGACTTGCTGGCAGAAGAACAGGAGCCTTGACTTTGTGACTAAGCCATGCTCCTACTTTGGACCCTGAACCGCAAGCCCCACACATACAAGCCACGAAGCCGTGTGCGCCTGAACCCATAGTCTTTAAACTTTAAAACCATCAAGCTGAAAGCCCCGCCAGCCCTAAAGCCCTCAAGTGAGAAACCCAAAAAAACCTCAAAGTCAAGTCCTTGATGTACTGCTGGAAGGGCTCATCCCACTTGTCAATGTTGGCCTCGGGACTTGTTTAACCCTAAGGGCCCATGTACCCAAAGCACTTATAAAGGGACTACTTTACGGCCAAAGTATAAGTATTTGGGTACATGGACCCTAAACCCTCTAAACCCTAAACCCTAGACAGTAAACCCTAAACCCCAAAGTATATCTAGTTGGGTACATGGACCCTTAGGGAAAGGAAACTCTACAACGTCGGAACATGGTGGGTTTCCGGAACTTCCAAAGTTTAGGGTTCAGGGGCTTGGGGTTTAGGATTCAGGGTGTAGGGGTTTAGGGTGTATTAAGGGTGTTAGAATTCAGGGTTTAGGGTTTTAGGATTTAGGGGGTTTAGGGTTTAGGCTTTTAGGGGTTTAGGGGGTATAGGTTTTTAGGATTTATGGGTTTAGGGTTTTAGGCTTTTAGGATTTAGGGGTTTGGGGTTTAAGGCGTTGGAATATCTTGCAAACATGAGGTGTTGCTGGGCTTTGCTATACTTGTTATGAGGGGCCCAAGGATAGGGACATCAACGTTTTCTGTTAAGGGTTTAGGGTGTACCTCGAGTATCCATTGTAGTTATTTTTTTGCGTGACCTTGTATGATCCTAAATATACAGCCGTTTAAACCAGATAACGAAACAACAATGGAGATTATACGCAGGATTCAAGGTTTACCCATAGGCTCCATAGTAGTAGTTCCTTTTAGGGCTTACCTTACTAAAACCCTAGATACAAACCACAAAAAGGAACTACTATGGAGCCCAGGGGTACAGAGATGCATGGGGTCTGGAAGTTCCCATAATGTAGGGGCCTCAATAATTAGAATAGGGTTTTGGGGGTTCCTTATTATAATTATAGTATAAGATACCCCCAAACCCCATTCGCGTTATTCAGGCCCCTATATTATCCGTCTTCGGTTTCGAGCTTCAGACATTCCAGGCGGGGAGCATTGAACCCAAACGCCAAAAAAAAACGAAACCCCAAATTCCGCGAGCCTGAACCCAAAAGCTCAAACCCGAAACCGCCTTAAGCTGTGTTAATTACTAATTATTGCTTCAAACGTTCAGAAGATTACAACACAAAAAAGAAGCAGGTTTAGAACGGCCTAAAGGCAGTGGATTTAGGGATCATCAAACTTAGAGCACAAGACATTTCAGGCTTCAGAAGTTCGCAGGCGACCCCACCTCACCCCGAAATAAGCCCTGCAGTTCCCTTGATCGGAGGCTTGAAGTCAGGCACGGTGGTGGGGTTCTGCGATTGGGATTGGCAGGTCGAGGCTTCGGCCGTCAGGGTGTCTTTTTGGAGCTGCTGCACTGTGTGATTTGGGATCAGGATAATTCGGCTTCAAGGGTGGCAAAATGTAGGAGCCGTTTTGGTAAAATAATGCTGCAACGTTAGGCTCCATGTTGGCATTGCGTGTTACCACGCTTCCCCCAAACCCAAGGAACGAACCTTGCGTTAAGACTGGCGAAACAAGCATACTGACTTAGAAAAGCCCAAAGAAACATCAAACCAGTAACAACACAACAACAAAACCAGCGAAGGTATCGAGAACTCTACGGCACCAACAAGCATTTAGGGTTTAGGGTTTAAGGAATGTCCCCTAATTTTTCCTGGCGCAAGGCCCCACCTCGTTGCAGGAGTAAATCTTTCCCCGGGCAGGAATCCTGGCACCAGGGGCAAAGGATTGGCTCTTCTTTTGTAGCCCCAAAGATTCACAGTCTTGATAGGGTTTAGGGTTTAGGGGTTTAATTTGAATTGATCGTTTTAGGATTTAGGGTTTAGGGTTTAGGGGTTTCAGTCTTGATTTGAACTTTCCAAAAGGCTTTTAGGGGATCCTTACATATAGCTCTTGGGATGAACTGCCTTGCCCTGAAGCAACACATGCTCGAGGGCCCCTCAGCTCTAGGTGCGGCATTCCGTGCTCAGGGTCTAGGATCTTTAGGGTCTCGGATCTCTACCATAGGCCCCTAAGTAGTTCCTTTTTGGGATTACCTTATAGGATTCTAAATCTAAACCATCAAAACGGAACTCCTTAGGGGCCCATTGGGTAATCATATCGGGGCCTTGAGGTATATTCAGAATACTTCTTAAAATCGCCAGAAGGAAAGGTATTGGTAATGCTTCAGGCTCCAATATTGCCCTACGGGTCCATGCGCCCAAATAGTATATACGTTGGCCACAAAGTACTTCTATGGGGACTACTTTATGGCCAAAGTATATCTATTTGGCTACATGGACCCTAAGCCCTCTAAACCCTAGACCCTAAACCCTTAACCCTAGACCCTAAACCCCAAAGTTTATCTATTTGGCTACATGGAAGAAGCGAGCTGGGGCGACTTGATGCTGGGTCGGGTGAGCACGTACTCGCCGATGGAGTTGTCGAGCGTGAAGCCCACGACGCCCCTAAAAATGGGCTTGAGGATCCGAGGGAAGAGGATCTTTCCGGTTTGGGAGTTTGGGGCTTACATGGGGTTACCATTATAATTATAGGCTATCAGCCGATACTGCAAGGGTTATTCCAAGAGATACTATAATAAGCACTGCTCTATAACTTTGAGGGCGGGTTGAAGAGCTTCGTAGGTTCGTTGCTTTAGGCGGGCTATATGGAGTCGCATGATGGGTGATATAGTAAAGGACTTCCGCATGTGGCTCCAAATTACCTCGGGGTCTCCGGGCTCATCTCCTTGCTATACCCACCTACTTACCGAGCTGTTGACCCTTCAATCACAGTAGAGCAAGCTCGAAACCCTGACATCCGGTCTAGCGATTGGACGGTTACGGAGGCTTTTCCAACGAGAGCTTTGATGTTTAGCGCGTAGGCGTAGGCTTGTCGCCGGACCCAGCCTCAAACCGGGCCGCAATCGCCACAAACCGTGCGATATCACCGATATCAAGGTACAGTTGATGGAGAAGCCATCTAACTAGGCGAAGCACACCTACCAGTGTCCAACATTCCCAAGCCTCAACCCTCGACGGAAGAAAGCCTAAAACAAAACAACCTTTCCCCGAATCACAACCCGCGACACAAAACCCTAAGCTTTACCAATCATCGAGGGATTGAACACCTGGCTACCCGATGCTTCACCCGCTTCAACAGATCCCTGCGAGAACCTCTTCTAGTAGGTACACATCATAGATGCCCTATAGACCCTTCGTTGAACCCCTTGTAGATAATAGAACCTCTTGTGAAACCCCTTACAGCACCCGACAACAACGCCCCAACTGCGCAACTAGTGTCCCGCTTTCCGGGCTTATTATAGTATAGCTAGTTCAAGGACCCCCTGGGGAATTGGCGGGTATTATCTAACGAATGCAGGGCTGTTTTACCTCACTTTCGGGCCTGCCGATGGTGAAGACCAACTCGGTTGAGCAGGAATAGAGGACGTAGCCGGCGGCGACGAGGTTCTGCCAGAGGGTCGAGTGGCTTGGGGGGGTGCAGATCTGGCTTGGGGGGCAGGGCTCTAACTCTAGGGGTTAAGGGCTTAGGGGTTTTGGGGTTTTGGGTTTAGGCTTTACGGGTTACGGGTTTAGGGGGGTTTAGGAGTTTAGGGTTTATAAGAATAAACCCTATAGAAACCCTAAATCTTGTAGGGTTGTTCCCCAGCCTTTCCCGGCTGCAGCGTCGCAGCAAGGCAGCTGACCTGGTCGTCATCCAGGTCCTGGCGGGGAAAGAAAGGAAAGCGTCGGGAGCAGGCACCTTTAGGGTTTCAGAGTTTAGGGTTGGGGTTAAGCTTAGGGCGTAGGGCGTTTAGGGCGTTTAGGGTGAGCTTAGGATCTAGGGTCTATGGTCGAGTTTTTAGGGTTTAGGCTTACAAATTTTGGGTTTTGGGGGTTTGGGGGGGCCTTTTTCCAGCTTGAGGATTCTTGAGGTTAAGGGGAGCAATGGATAATGGCCGGATTGAGGGGGCTTGGGGTGTCGAACGTCAAGTCTGGGGTTTTAGGATTTCCCAGCACCCCACCAAACTACCCTCTCCTCTACCCCAAAGACCCACTACTACGGACCATATAAGGGCTCTCTTAAAGGGTACTTGGGGCGTGCTGGTCCGCCTGAAGGCTAAAGATGCCGGATTTGAATTTTGAGGTCTAGGGGTTACAGGCCTGGAGGCTCAAGCTTTGGGCATCATGGGTGGAGCATGTCCGGGGACCCGCCGCTTTGAAGCACCCTGGCTTCAATATTCACATGGTATTGAGAAGATCTTGCTCAGATCCGGCAGGGATCCATCATATGTGACATCGTTCATGACAAAGCGAATCTCGGTTGCCCAATGCCCAGGCCCAATTAATGCACCTGAGACTTGACCCTTCGAATGAGGTTAGACAAGCGCGACAAGTGTAATGTCTTCAGTTTACCAACAAAACTGGAATGGCATAGCCGTCGAGCTACGAAAGCACATTCACCTTTGGCTTGGGCTCGCTGGGCCTTGATGTTCGTGGGAAGGTCGCATGCAGCGCCCGCCGCCTCCTCCTGGAGAGCGTCTTGAGTTGTGAGAGTTATTTGTTTGAGAGGGGGGGAGATAGCGTTTATAGGGTTTCTTTACGGTTCATGTTTCTGAAGGTTTCGTTGGTTAAGCAAGCTTAAAGATAAAATACCAGAGTTAAGCCAAGTTCCTTCGCACGAAGCCAGTTTGCGTGTCGCAGTTCTGGGGACTAGTCGTTAGGGGCAACTCTGGGATTGAGACTCTAGGGCGGCAAGCTTAGGAACTTTGGGCCGTATTCGGGATACTACACGGTTCACTTAGCGGTTACTCATAGCCCAGAGTTATATGGTGCTTAGGACAAGCGTGTGGCAGAGCGCATGCGGCAGTAGGGTGGCGCTGTTCCCCACGGCAGACCAATTATGGAACACAGCGGCGAAATCATGGCAGCATTCGCAAGACTGATGACAGAAGACTCTACCACCAGCCCAAAGCCCAATGCCCTGAACTCTGACACCCTGAACATAACTATCCAAAATGTGCTCACACGCAGCCCCCCCTTCCCCGAGCCCCTCCGAGAAGATGCCAAAGATGGTTCCAACGGCGATGCCGGCATCAACGTTGCTACTGCCATCCAAAGGATCGAACCTTTCAGCAAATATCTTCTTAAGGTTCCAGGTTTGCGAAGTGGGCTGCACGGTTTCGACAGTGCTTACATAAGGTTGAGGGTTGCTGCAAGAGCAATTCAGGACGTTGCATGAGGGTGGTGAGATCCAAAACGTAAGTTCATACTTACTTTGTTCTCATTTTATTGGATACTTTGGTTTTTGGTTGTGGGCAGAGAACGCTGCGAGTCCCAGATCCCTCAACATCTCGGGATTTAAATACCCCTTACGGTCCATGTACCCAACTAGTACATACATTGGCCCCAAAGTACTTATATAGGGACTACTTTAAGGCCAAAGTATACCTGTTTGGGTACATGGACCCTTATAGGGTACCTCCAACTTCCAGAAACTCCAAAAAACTCGGTTGCGCCAACTTGGGCCTGAGGGTTTCGGGATGGGAGGGGGGGGGTATATAAAGTTTAGGGTTTAGGGGTTTAGGGGTTTTCTAGGGTTATAGGGTTTTTTGGGTTTTAGGGCTTAGGGTTTAGAGTTACACACTTTGCCCTGCAGCGTTCTCGGCTCTTCAATGCATCTGGTGAAGACTGGTGCCTTGCAGGTATTGCAGGTCGCATCCTAAACCCTATAAACCCTAAACCCTAAACCCTATACACCCTAAACACTTTAAACCCTAAGCCCTACACCCTATATAAACCCTATAAACCCTAAACCCTAAACCCTATAAGCCCTGAACCCTACTTCGGACGAGTAGGCTCCCCCCCACCCCCCCAGAGAACCCAATACTCCTTAATCAAGGAATTTATACCTTCAATCATAATATTAAGGCCCCTATAATAAATCATTATATAAAGGCCCCTATATAAGGCCCCTATAATTTAAGGTATATCCCTTAATTCAGGGGTCTTGGGTTCTCTG